TGCAGGTGGAATAAAGAGCCTCAGTTGCTGGCTCCGTGGCTTTCTCTGTGACCCATAGGAGCTGTAGGGACTGAGCCATAATTTGGGATCAAGGGACCAGTAGGGGGACGTGAACCAGCCTTTGCCAGACTGGAAACGAAAAGATGGGGATCCTGCCAGGCCATGCTGCTGACCTTGACAATGCCACTGGTGTCCATCGCCCCTGCTGGGCATGGCCACTCCCTGCCTCTTCCTGCCTGCCATTGCCACCATAGCAGAGTCTAAAGAGTCTCCATGCTAACGTGATCTGGGCAAAGTTGGACAACATGCCTCCTTTCCCTGGTGGTGCATCCCATGAGAGGCATCCATGGGAGGGTTGTTGGAAGTCATACTCAGTTTTCAGCAAAATAGCACCCTCCTTTCATCTCCTCACTCTCCGCAGGACCCAGAGGTAGATTCACATAGTAGCCCACACTCTGTATGCAAAATCCCCCAGCCTTCCCTCACCGGGGCTTCATGGCTGGTCAGCTTGTTTCTCTTCCACAGTCCTTAGACCCCGCTCAGCTGGACTCTGTTAGGCCCTCACCCAGCCACCAGCTCTCTTCAAAGTCCAGCCCAGTTCAGCTGGGATGCAGTTTCCTTTGAACCAATGGGACCCAAACCAGATGGCGTACTTCCTTGTTTCATAACCAGGATACTCTCTTGCTCGCTTACCCTCTCTCTGTCTACCCTTCCCTCTCTCTCTCTAACCCTTTCTGACCATATTGCATGATCAGCCTGATCTGCTTATACAAGAAGTTTTCTGGTGGCTGTTTTCCATACTGGTTACCACTGTGCTGGGAGTTAGAACAAGGTATAGTGTCATGAAGCTTCTTTTGTATTTTCTACTTTACAAAGTGGATCTATAAAAACTGCTTGGAGCATAACTTGGTTGGGAGGAGATACTTGCTCTCTTGGTTTCTCTACAAAGGTCCTCTGTGTACTTACGTTGCTTCAACATGTGTTCATAAATCAAGAGTTTGAAATACATTTTATTTTCTTCATTTGGTCATTCAGTAAATATATATTTGTGTCCAGGCTCATTGACTCCCTGCAACCATGTAAATGTGGACTAATTCCCAGGCTAGCTTAAAGCCAATATAATCCATAGGCCTATGGTATGAGCTAGCCTCGGAACCTATCCACTGCCTGGAGCATTGGATAGGAAACACAGATTTAGAGAACTCATCTCCTGTTTGCTGCTGTCCCCCTGAGAACATGGTATCACGGGAGCCTGCCCACCCCTCGTGACTGGCTGGGCTGGGGTCATTCTGCTATGTGGACTGTGCAGGCAGATGTTTGGGCTGAGGAAGGGGGCTGGCCTATGTTTCCTTTTTTTTTTTTTTTTTTTTGAGACAGAGTCCGCTCTGTCACCAGGCTGGAGTGCAGTGGCGCAATCTTGGCTCACTGCAACCTCTGCCTCCCGGGTTCAAACGATTCTCCTGCCTTAGCCTCCTGAGTAGCTGGGACTACAGGTGCCTGCCACCACACCTGGCTAATGTTTTGTATCTTTCATAGAGACAGGGTTTCACCATGTTGGCCAGGACGGTCTTGATCTCTTGACCACTCGCCTCGGCCTCCCAAAGTGCTGGGATTATAGGCATGAGCCACAGCGCCCAGCTTCAGTGCTTTGTTAATTATATAAATAATACCTGAACAAATGGTCATTTTTAAAATTTGAACAATGGTATGGTATGGAACTATATAAAGTACAAAGTGAGAGCCTCTCTTTTTCCATACCCCCAATCCCATGCCTCTTGCCAAATATGACCACTAGTAACAGATATTTTAATTGCACTTGCAAATATATAGATGTATACAAACATCCATATACAGGTTTTGTTTTATTATGTTTTACATAAATTTGGATCATCTTGCATGTATTATTCTGCAGCTTGTTCTTTTTCACCTTTTTGAAGCACTTTCCCTGCTAGGACATATAGGTCTACTGCATTGTTTTTGTTGTTGTTGTTTGTTTTTGGAGACGGAGTCTTGCTCTGTTGCCCAGGCTGGAGTGCAGTGGCGTGATCTCAGCTCACTGCAACCTCCGCCTCCCGGGTTCAAGCAATTGTCTGCCCCAGCCTCCTGAGTAGCTGGGATTACAGGCGCCCGCCACCATGCCCAGCTAATTTTTTTTTGTATTTTTAGTAAAGACGGGGTTTCACCATCTTGGCCAGGCTGGTCTTGAACTCCTGACCTCGTGAGCCACCCACTTCGGCCTCCCAAAGTGCTGGGATTACAGGCGTGAGCCACTGTGCCTGGCCTACTGCATTGTTTTTGTTGTTATATTTTCTTCTTTTTTTTTTATGGTGATAAAATATACATAACATAAAATTTTCCATTCTAACCATTTTAAAGTATTCAATTCAGTGGCATGAATTATATTCACAATGTTGTATAGCCATCACCTGTGTCTACTTCCAAAACTTTTTCATTATCCCAAACAGAAACTCTGAAACCATCAAGCAATTACTCCCCATTTCCCCTCTCCCAGCCCTCAGTAACATCGGCTCTACTTTCTATCTCTATGAATTTGCCTGGTCTAGATATTTCATGTAAGCGGAATGATAAATTATTTGTCCTTTTGTGTCTGGCTTATTTCACTGGGGATGATGTCTTCAAGGTTCATCCATGTTGTAGTATGCATCAGCACACTGCATTCTTTGTAATCGCTGTAAATCATTTCATTGTACGAATGTAGCACAATTTATGTAATGAACCTATATACATGTCCCATATTGAAAATTGTGGCAAATATGTCATGGTTAACAACTGTCTAAGGCTGGTGCACAGGGGGATAAAATAATTTACCAAAACAGTATTGAGTTTAGAAAGGCAGATTTATTTAGAGAAAAGGGGGAGATACATTGAAAGGGAGCAACGGGCCAGATGGCAGAAAGAAGGCTGTCTGCAAAGAGGCAGGGGCTGGAGGCAGAGGTTTCTAAGGTTGTGCTGCTTGAGCTGAATGCTTGCAGGCAGGATGCCTGGGTGCAGGTGGACTGTGAGCTGAGTGCTTGTAACAGGATGCTTGAGTGCTAGTGAGCTGTTTGTGGTTGACCCTATTTCTTAGAACATTCACTCCCCACTACTGTTGTTTCTGTGTCTGCTAGTGAAGCCCATTTTTCAATTTTTTTTTTTTTTTTTTTTTGAGTCAGAGTCTTGTTTTGTCGCCCAGGCTGGAGTGCAGTGACTCGATCTCAGCTCACTGCAACCTCCACCTCCCCGGTTCAAGTGATTCTCAAGCCTCAGCCTCCCAAGTAGCTGGGATTACAGACACCCACTACCACACCCAGCTAATTCTATTCTCTATTCTCTATGTGCAGAAGCTATATACAGAGAATCTTGGAACACAGATCTTCATGCACATGTGAAAGCACTTTCTAGGATACAAGTAAAGTAAGAGGAATTGCTGCATGAAAGAATAAATGTATTTAAAACTTTGAGGCCAGGTGCAGGGGCTCATGCCTATAATTCCAGCACGTTGGGAGGCCAAGGCAGGCAGATCACCTGAAGTCAGGAGTTCAAGACCCAGCCTGGCCAACAGTGACTGTCTCTGCTAAAAATACAAAAATTAGCTGGGCATGGTGATGGCCACCTGCAGTCCCAGCTACACGGCTGAGGCAGGAGAATCGCTTGTACCCGGGAAGCGGAGGTTGCAGTGAGCAGAGATCTTGCCATTGCACTCCAGCTTGGGCGACAAGAGCAAAACATCATCTCAAAAAAAAAAAAAATTGATACCTATTGTCATATTGCCCTCTAAAAGCAAAGTACCAATAGACCCTACCACCCACAGTTTATATAAATGCCCTACTTCAAATACCCTTACAGACTGTATTTCAATCTCTTAAAAGTCTTCCAATCTAATGATCAAAAACTATTTTCTGGGCTGGGCATGGTGGCTCATGCCTGTAATCCCAGCACTTTGGGAGTCAGGCAGGTGGATCACCTGAGGTCAGAAGTTCGAGACCAGCCTGACCAACATAGTGAAACTCCGTCTCTACTAAAAATAAAAAATTACCCATGTGTGGTGGTACGTGCTTGTAATCCCAGCTACTCAGGAGACTGAAGCAGGAGAATCGCTTGAACCTGGGAGGCAGAGGTTGCTGTGAGCCAAGATCGCGCCACTGCGCTCCAGCCTAGACAAGCGTGAAACTCCTTCTCAAAAAATAAAAATAAATAAATAAATAAATAAAAATTGTTTTGTATTTCATCTAATTGATTTATTCTTTGGGCTTTATGTACAGTGTTTTAGTTTAACTGGACCTTCTCTTTTTGTTTGTTTTCCTTAACCTTTTATTGTGGAAAATCTCATATTATTTTAATTGTTTTTATTTTTATATTTTTAGTACAAAAAATGCAAAAATTTATTCTAAAATGCCACTGTTACACCACACATACATACACACATTTCCATATATAATTTGAGTTCTTTTAAAAACTCTTTATTTTGTGCTTTTGACCTCTTATCTATCCTTGAGCCACATGGTTTTAGATCCTGTAGATTTATCATTTGTTTTGTTATAAGATACGGCAGATAACCTGTTATCAGATTTCTCTTTATTGATTTTTTTAAAGCAATGTTGGCTTTTCTTATGCTTATTGTGTCTCCTAATGATTTAATAATTTTTAATCAGCATGTTAAGATTTTGATTGGAATTTCATCAAATTTATAGACTAATTTAGAGACAAATAATGACTTTATAGTAATGAACCCTCCCAGTCACAAATATGGTTTTGTATTAGGTTTATTTCCACAAATTTTGCTATTTTTTCTCTCATTTACAAAAGGATCTTTATTTCTCCGTGCATTTTACTATTGGTGATGGCTGGTGCTTAGGAAAGCTTTGGTTTTTATAAGTTGATCTTATATCTGGCCACTTTGCTGAATTCACATTTCAGACGTTATAATTTTTTTCATGTTGATTATTCTGGATTTCCTGGTTGGCAGACATGTCATCTGCAACTGGTTTTTCTGTTTTCAGGTTAATGCAGAATCAAGTAAAACCTGGCTGAAGGGGAAATTCACTGAACTCAGATTACTACTTGACGAAGAGGAAGCTCTGGCCAAGAAATTCATTGATAAAAACACGCAGCTTGCCCTCCAGGTGTACGGGGAACAAGCTGACTCTTGCAGAGAGCAACTTGACGTCGTGAACGATCTCTCCAACAGGGTCTGGAGTATCAGCCAGGAGCCTGATCCTGTCCAGAGGCTTCAGGTAATGCTGGGGTCACTGGTCTTACAGCGGCCACCTGCCACCCACACTTCATCTCAGGTATTGTGGCATTGAGCACAGTATTGACACACTAAGCAAGTACACGGAATACTGTCTTGTCACCATGTAGACTGTCTTGCCCCCACACAAGCGGTCAAGAGAATATACATTGTTAGGAAGAGAATACACATCTTGGGCTAATTAAATAATGTTAACAGCCACTGATTTCAAAGGCCTCTGTGTTCTGAGCACTGTGTAGCTTAGCACTAATATTCACCAGAACTCTGCAAAGTGGGCCCACCCATTTTATAAACAAAAAATTGAGGCTCATTGAAGTAACTCACCCGGTCTCACACAGCTGGTAGGTGGCAGAGCTGGTATCAGGTCTGGCTGTCTGTCTAGGTCTGTCTGACTCTAAACCCACAAGGCACTTTGGCCCTCTGCCTATATAATCTTTTTTTTTTTTTTTTTTTGAGATGGAGTTTCTCTCTTGTTGCCCAGGCCAGAGTGTAATGGTGCGGTCTCAGCTCACCACAACCTCCGCCTCCTGCGTTCAAGCAATTTTCCTCGCTAGCCTCCCGAGTAGCTGGGATTACAGGTGTGTGCCACCATGCCTGGCTAATTTTGTATTTTTAGTAGAGACGGGGTTTCACCATGTTGGTCAGGCTGGTCTTGAATTCCTGACCTCAGGTGATCTGCCCGCCTCGGCCTCTCAAAGTGCTGGGATTACAGGCGTGAGCCACTGCGACCGGCCTGCCTGTGTAATCTTAAATTGAGACACCCCTCCTGAAAAGGCAGGTGTCCTTGCAGTTACTGAGCACATTTCAAAAGCTGAGTCACAGCTGGCTCAATGGTACTCCTTGGCCACAGGGCTTTGTGGAGGAAGAGTCTAAGAAATAGCCCCTGTGGCAGATCACTTGAGGCCAGAAGTTTGAGAGCAGCCTGACCAACATGACAAAACCCCCCTCTACTAAAAATACAAAAATTAGCTGGGTGTGGTGGCGCGCACCTGTGAGGCTGAGGCGGGAGAATCACTTGAATCAGGGAGGCAAAGGTTGCAGTGAGCCGAGATCGCACCGCTGCACTCCAGCCCAGGTGAGAGTGAGACTCTGTCTCAAAGGAAAAAAAAAAAAAGAACTAGCCCCTGCTATACTCATTGCTACATTTAGGGAAAGCATGTTGTCGAGGATGGTGTTCCTGTCTTTAGGGAACCGTGGAAGAAACTCTTGTCTGGTGTCAATATCCCTGTGCAGTCACTTCTGCACTAGAATTGCTTTTCCACTAACAGAGCTCCTCCTGTTCCCTTCTTTGCCTTGGGAAGTTCAGAGCCAAATGTGCCTTGACTAACCAGACTAAGGCTTCATGGCAAACACTTTGTGTCTAATTTTCTCTTTGCTTCATTTTTTCTCGCTATAAAGAAAAACCTTGCCTTATTAGAGGACCTTTGCAAGACACTTTAAAGGCTGTGGGACAAGGCAGGGTACGACTAAAAGTGACACCGACTCTAGCCACAGATTGGTATGGGCTCTGGCTGGAAAATCAGACAGAGAAATAAGCTAGTCAACAAAAGCAGCCAAGCCAGTCCCCAGGTGGGGATTTCCACTCTTGTGTCTTTATGTGGCCTTAGTCGGTTCAGCCTGTGTGTCATTGTCTCCTGTTTCAGCCACATTCTGGATGAGGTGCTTTCCTAGGCATAATGGGTATTGTGCTTTAAGAGGGGCAAGATGCACAAAGTGATACATTTAATTGCCTTTTTTAAAATAATGGTCATTTTTAAGGCTTTGGAATACAAAGGAATCCTTCCATGGGGAAGCATGCTATTCTCACATCAGAAAACAGTTTCAGGGCTTTGTTATCTTTTTTTTTTTTCAAATTCTCTTGTGCCAAAGCTACTGATTTTAATCATTCACCATTCCCATCTTCTATGTGTTGATTCGTTTATTCATCAATACGTACTGAGCCAGGACGTTAGGAGCTCACAGTTGGGTGGGGAGACTTGCTCAGAAACAGTTATTTACAATACAGCTTAAACAATTTTGTAAATATGAAGCCAGCAAAATTATGTCCAAGAAATGTCTGACACTCTCTAGCTGGCAGAAGGATGCAGTCTGGGAAGACTTCTAGGAAGAGGTGATGGTAGGGCTGCGTGCTGGACAATGAGTAGGAGCACACTGTATATAGAGAGGATGGAGAGAGGACAGGCAGGAACAGTGTACATGTGAGAGCTTGACAGGCTGGGGAACCAGTTGAGGTGCAGCCTGGCTTGAGGAGGGGTGGGTGGATTGAGAGACACAGCTGGATCCATAGGCCATAGTTAGTTCATGAAGGCCTGATGTGCCATAGAGTTCAGACTTTGTCCTGTAATGAGATAGAGACGGGAATGTTTGTTTGTTTGTTTTGAGACAGGGTCTTACTCTGTTGCCCAGTGACTCAATCTCAGCTCACTGCAACATTTGCCTCCCAGGTTCAAGGGATTCTCCTGCCTCTGCCCCTTGAAGAGCTGGGACTATAGGCACGTGCCACCGTGCCCGGCTAATTTTTGTATTATTAATAGAGATGTTGGCCAGGCTGGTCTCAAACTCTTGACCTCAAGTGATCCACCCACCTTGGCCTCCCAAGGTGCTGGGTTTACAGGCGTGAGCCACCCACGCCCAACCCAGGGGAGTGTTTTGCACTGAGGGATGAAAGCGTTCACATGGTCAGATCAGTGCTTTAGAAAAGCCACTTTAGAGACAGAGTGGAAGATGGACAGGGGAGGCCAGGATGGGAGACTGGAAGGAAACTTGGGAGGAGGCCACAATGTCCAGGAGAGAGATGATGGTGGCCTGGACCAAGACAGGGGCAGTGGGGATGGGGAGAAACAGGCAGGTCAAGAGATGCCACAGGAATGGAGATTGGAATTGGAAAATGAGTAGGGGGAATCCTGAGATGATGCCTGGGTTTCTGGCCTGAGAGATGAAGGGCTGGGGTTTCTGTTCTCTGAGTCTGCAAGGGCAAAATGTAGCTGTGCTCGGTTTCATGCATTTATTTATTCCATCATACATATATGTTTTGAGAACCTGTGTGTCAGGCCTGGTGCTAGCCACTGGAGTTTGGGGTTACCAGGTGGTGCCATGTGTCCTCTATCGACCCCTCATCCTACCCTACTCATCTGCCCTCTGAGCCCCCTCTCACCTCCTTGGAGCTGCTCCCTGCCCACCCTGGACTTCCTGCTAGTGCTCAGTCTCCCCTGGCCAGCTCCATTCCAGCTCTCTGGGTGTGATGTTAGGCCTGGTTCCCCACCAAAATGAGGTTGGACTCTAGACTCCTGGCCTCCTAGGCTGAATGGGGCTTGGAGGCCATCTCACAGCCTCCTCCCAATGTACAGCATGCTGCCAGGTGGGGCCTGCCCCTGCCCAACAGCTGAGTGCTAGGCCACCCTCCCTCCCTCCTGAGGCCCCCATCTGTCCACCCCTTCTCGGATGGGCAGCACTGCCGCTGCCAGCCAAGCCTGATCACCTGAGGCAGTCAGCTTCCTTCCAACTCCTGGCCAGGACAGACCTTCAGAAAGTGCAGCCATGGTTCTTACCTGCAAACATGAGAATCCACTGGAACTGTTTTAAGCAAGAAAGGAGTTTATGGAAGAGTATGAGGTAGCCCATAGGATCTCCAGGAGGGTCAGAGAGTCGGGATGGAAGATGGGCAGCAGGAATGAAGTCCAGGGGTTGTTGCCAGTATAGGCCCCACGGCACCTCTGCTGGGCAAGACATCACCACTCACACCACTGACCAGAACCCCCACCACTGCTGTCCCTGAGCGCCTCATGCCACCATCACAACCTTCACCCTCATTTCCAAATCCACGCTTTGGCTTGGAGGCGTCTGGTCACACTCCTGCAGCACAGGTGCAAAGGCAGCTGGGGGGGCGGTTTCTAGCTTCTCCTTAGTGAAGTCACACACCACAGGAAGGTATTGAAGAGGGGCTGTCCAGACCCAAAACAGGACACATGTCCCTTGCAGTGGCCACACCCCCTCAGTCAGCACTGCAGCTGAACCTTGCTGGTCTCTGGTCTTTGGCGTCATTCTTAGAACATGGTTTCCTGCTCCACCTTTGAATAAGCTCCAGGGGCTCCTTCCCCAGGGAGACTGACCTCTCACTCTTTTTGTACCTGAGGCAGACCCGTGGTGCAGTGTGTGTGAGGCTGAAGCCTCTCTGGGAAGGGCCCCATGTCAGCCTGACCCTGCCCTCTGCCCACATAGCTGGCACAGAGTAGGCCTCAATGAACACGGAAAGAAGGAAGGAAAGGAGGGAGGGAGGGAGAGGGAGGACTCCCCAGTGCCAGCCCTGAGAAACCACACCTCCGCATGGCTCCCACCTCAGGGATGCTGTGTGGTTTCTCCAGGGCTCTGCTCCTGGGGGCATGGCCTGGGCTGACCATAGGTGCCAGGCCAAGGTGGAGCCTGGGCATGGTGTTGTGGGTTTGTTCCTGGGTGCAGCACAGGAGGCTGGGATGCTGCCTGCATCTCCCAGAGCCACCCTCACCCCCGTGTGCCCACACAGGCATACACAGCCACCGAGCAGGAGATGCAGCGGCAGATGAGCCTTGGGGAGCTGTGCCACCCTGTACCCCTCTCCTTTGAGCCCGTCAAGAGCTTCTTTAAGGGCCTCGTGGAAGCCGTGCAGAGTACATTACAGACGCCATTGGACATTCGCCTTAAGGAAAGTAAGTCGCCGAGTGACCAACTTTGTGTCCTTAACTCCCCTAGTGCCCTTTAGCCCAGAGGCAAATGCAAAGATCATCTCCCTACATCCTGTCTCTCCCACACTGAGGCCCTTGGCTGGGCGGTCAGGGGCTCCTGGGCCTGGTGCCCAACCCACCCTCACCACTTCACCTCCAACCCTTCCTGAGACCGAGACCTGCCCTTCTCCAGTCACACTGCCCTACTTCTGCCCCTCAGATCGCTCCTGGGAGCCTGCCACATCTCAGCCTTGCTCTGGGCTCCCAGCTGGAATGACCAACTCTTCCTCCTCCTCTTCCTCTGCCTGGGGCCAAGGCCTGGCATCCCTTCAAGGCAGACTGGCACAGCTGCGCCCACCTGGGAAGCCCTTTCCTGCCAGCCCAGCCCTGACTCACTCCCTCCTTTGGCCATCTCCCCTCTCCCTTCCTGCTCCAGGGCCTTCCCATGTCCTGCTGGAGGGTGCTCATGAAGTGGACACATGAACCCCTCCTTGCTCCTTGTAAGCATGTGAAGGGCAGGAACCAGCTTTAGGTCCAACTCGGAGGTCCCCGCAGGGCCTGGCACAAACCATGTGCTCAAAAATATCTGTTCTTTGATTCATTTATGCGTTCATTCATTCTTTTTTTTTTTTTTTTTTGAGACGGAGTCTCGCTCTGTCGCCCAGGCTGGAGTGCAGTGGCGCAATCTCGGCTCACTGCAAGCTCCGCCTCCCGGGTTCACGCCATTCTCCTACCTCAGCCTCCCCAGTAGCTGGGACTACAGGCGCCCGCCACTGCACCCGGCTAATTTTTTTTTCTATTTTTTAGTAGAGACGGGGTTTCACCATGGTCTCGATCTCCTGACCTTGTGATCCGCCCGCCTCGGCCTCCCAAAGTGCTGGGATTACAGGCGTGAGCCACCGCGCCCGGCCTCATTCATTCTTTCATTCATTCATTCACCTCTGCTGTCATGATTCATTCAGAACATTTATCAAGCCCCTCTTATGTGCCAGGCATAGCAGGGCACAAAACAAAGCTCCTTGTCATCTTTTGGTGCTCACAGTCTTTGTAGGGGAAGACAGACAGTACACAAACATGTCAGGTGACAAGAACTGCTATAAAGAATAATAAAGACTGGGTGTGGTGGCTCACGCCTGTAATCCCAGCACTTTGGGAGGCCGAGGTGGGTGGATCATGAGATCAGGAGTTCAAGACCAGCCTGGCCAACAAGGTGAAACCCCATCTCTACTACAAATACAAAAATTAGCCAGGCGTGGTGGCATGCACCTGTAATCCCAGCTACTCCGGAAGCTGAGGCACGAGAACTGCTTGAACCTGGGAGGCAGAGGTTGCAGAGAGCTGAGATCATGCCACTGCAAATCAACCTGGGTGACAGAGCAAGACTCTGTCTCGAAAATAATAATAATAATAATAAACCAGGGCAGGATGCAAGACAGGAAAGTGACAAGGAGGAGGAGCTGTTTTATATAAGCAGTTGGGAAGGCCTCTGAGAAGGGGACACTCAAAGTGGCCCAAAGGAAGCGTTCGTTCTGCAGGTTCTGTGGCTCTGAAGGGCCACAGAGCAGTGGTCATAGGCACGGCCTCTGGAGCTCGGCCTCCTGGGTTCCTATCCCAGGTTTATCACATGGAACCCTAATGAACCCTGCCATCTTAGACACGGCACCTCCCTTTTCCATGCCTCTGTTTCTGCATCTGTAAAGTGGAGACCATAATGCAGTCACCTCTCCTGGGCCACTGTGAGGATTAAATGAGCTCTTACACATGTAGCGCTCAGGCGTAATAAGCACCATGTACGTCTTGGCGATTGTGATTGCTGCTGCTGTTACATGTGGGGGAGGCATTCTAGACAGAGGGAAAAGCAAGGGTGGAGGTCCTGAGGCATGATGGGAGTGAGCTGGCCATATCGAAAGAGCAGCAATGGAGACAATGGGGACAACGGGAGCGGACGTGGGGTCACAGGGGAGAGAGGAAAGAGATCAGAATCCAAGGATTTTGACGTGGGCAACTCGCAGAAGGAAACTGTCATTTTCTGAAGTGAGAAAGAGCATTTAAGACTGGAGGGAATGTAGTATTTGAACCTGTGAGATTTGAGAAGTTGGACTCCCATGTGGTGGTATCGCCTAGGCAGTAGGACCTATGATTCTAGAGTTCGGGGGAGAGGGGAGAGGCTTTTGCCTTGATGAAGGAACAACTTCAGCCAAATTAAATTTAAAGGAGTTTAAATGAGCAATGAACGATTCATGTATCCAGCTGCCTTCTGAGCCACAGTGCGCTCAGACTCCAGCACAGCCACGTGGTGGAAGATTTAGGGACAGAAAAAGGAAAGCGAGGTACAGAAAACAGAAGTGAGGTACAGAAACAGCTGGATTGTTTACAGCTCGGCGTTCGCCTAATTTGAACATAATTTGAACAGTTGGCTACATCTGATTGGCCAAAACTTGGTGATTGGCACAAGTGCAGGCTATGGTCTGTTTACACCTCCACTTGTTATTGTTCACGATGTACAGAAAAATCTTCAGGCCAACTTAAAAGATGTAGTAAGGAGGAACTTTAGGCAAAACTTGATTTAAACAGCCTGCAGGTGGGCTTCCCCGCTGTCTACAGGCCCCTGTGATGAGCGCTGGGAGTGATGGGGGCAGAAGGCACTTCTGGGGAGGTGCTGAGTGAGCTCCAGCCCCAACAGCTGAGAAGGAGGCAACCTGGACAAGGGGGGAAGGGTGTGGGGGGTGCTGTCCAGGCAGAGGGCACAGCAAGTGCCAAGGGCCCTGGGTGCCTCTGCTGTGCCTGCTTGTTGGGATAGCCTCCCCTCCTCCCTTCTTTCTGAGCACTCAGACCTTCCTGAGGACTCAGCTCTACTTTCTTGTTTTCCATCTTTACCCTGGAATTTGCACGTGTTCCCTGAGTCACCGCCCATCCTTGAGTGCTGGATCCAGTAGTTGTTCACTTCTCAGCAACTCCTCCTGTTTAGGGCTCTCCCACACCAGCCGCCTCATCCTGGGGTTTTCCTGTCCCTGTAAATTTACATAAATCCCTTAAATCTGTGTGGCTCTTGGGTGAGATTATGCAAATGTCCAGTTGTGTGGTATTTTTAGCATGTCTGCTTGCAAGAGCTCCAGGCGCTCATTTCTCATCAATTCCTTACAGGCATGAACTGCCGGCTCTTGGACCCTTCTAGCACCAAGCCAGGTACCTTGTTGAAAACCAGCCCCTCACCAGAGCGATCACTCTTCCTAAAATGTAAGACCCCCGGGAGTGGGGATAGGGTGGAGATGGTGGAGATAGTGGGATGTTGGGTGGAGAAGGATCATGGAAATGGAGGTCCCTCTTTTTTTCTCATTAGAATTTGTTTTTTTTTAAGAATTTGTTTTTTTAAAAAATGTTTATTATTAAAGACAAGTAAAATAATACATGTTCATTGTAGAAAAATGAGAAAAGAAAAAATTACTCATAATCCCTCTTCTGTGAATAACTGCTGTTATTATTTGTCCTTTTAGCTTTCTTTAGCACATATAATATGCATATAATGATATATTTAAAATATCTTTTTATTTTACAAACATGGTGTCATACTATACATTCTGTTTTGTCATCTGCTTTCATTTACTAATATATTATGAACATTTTTATTCTCTTAAAAAATTGTACAGGTAGGGCCAGGCCTGGTGGCTCACACCTGTAATCCCAGCACTTTGGGAAGCCAAGGCAGGCAGATCGCTTGAGCCCAGAAGTTTGAGACCAGCCTGGGCAACATGAGGAAACTCTATCTCTACAAAAAATACAAAAATTAGTTGGGCATGGCGATGTGCTCCTGTAGTCCCAGCTACTCAGGAGGCTGAAGTGGGAGGATCACTTGAGCCCTGGAGGCAGAGGTTGCAGTGAGCACGCTACTGCATTCCAGCCTGGGTGGCAGAGTAAGACTCTGTCTCAATTGGAAAAAAAAAAATTATACAGGTAATGCATGCTTATTGTAGAAAATCAGCAATACAAATATGTAAAAACAATGGCCCCTCCCGAAGAACGCTGTTAATATTTTAACATATATTCTTTCAGATATGTGTGCAGATTTTTTTAATGGGATCGTATTATAGATATTCTTTGTGATTTTTTAATTAACAGTATAGCTTGAACAATTTTTCACATTTCCCACCCTACACTGATGTGACAATTTTCTATATCAATAAATACATAACTTTGTTTTTTGAGGCAGGGTCTCACTCTGTCACCCAGGCTGGAGTGTGGTGGCACAACTATGGCTCCCTGCAGCCTCGACCTCCGGAACCCTAGTGATCCTTCCACCTCAGCCTCCCACATAGCTGGGAACACAGATGTTTGCCACCAAGCCTGGCTAACTTTTAAATTTTTTGTAGAGACGGAGGTCTCCCATGTTGCCCGTGCTAGTCTTGAACTCCTGGGCTCACGTGATCCTCCCACCTCAACCTCAAATTTTGGGATTACAGACATGAGCCACTGTGCCCAGCTAATACTATCACTGTGTGTGTGTGTGTGTGTGTGTGTGTGTGTGTGTGTGACAGAGTCTTACTCTGGAGTGCAGTGGTGCAGTTGAAAATAGATTTAGGAATTTAAGTACCTTTAGATTTTTAGACTTAAAGAACTTAGAAATTCTTAGACTTAGAAATAAATAGGCTTAGAAACTTAGAAGCTTAGAAAAACAACCGCCCTTAAAAACAGCATCCACCGATGACCAGATGGCCATCTCAAGCACCCGCCCGATGCCCTGTGGCTATCTCAGATACCCACCTCAAATTCCTGGAACCCAAACAGAAAAGCAAGTCCAGGAAACATCCCGCGCGGGTTCAAACTGGGTTCAAACTGACCAATCAGAGTGAAACGCTTTAGCCTGATCCAATCCCCTTGCGCCTCAAGCTTTGTAAACATCTTTGTAGTTCTTGACTATAAAAACTGTGTGTAACAAGCATTCGGGGTCCTGTGGCCAACCTCGGACATAGGACCCTAGCGCGCTAGTAATAAATCTCTCCGCTGTGACTTCCGTGTCGAGTGGTCTCGCGCGGCGACCCCTGCCCAGGAAGGAATCTAAAAACTAGGTTCCTACACAGTTATGGCTCACTGCAGCCTCGACCTCTTGGGCTCAAGTGATTTTCCCACCTCAGCCTCCCTCATAGCTGGGACTATAAGCATGTGCCACCATGCCCAGCTAATTTTTTATTTTTATCATTATTTTTAGAGGTTGCATGACCATTGCATTGAATGGATGTGTCATATTTAGCCAATCTCATAATGTTGGATGTTTACATTTTCATTTCTAAAACAATGCTGTAATAAACATCCATTCTTGTACACATTTGTTGAATTAATGAATGAGAGAATGAACACACCATACCTCATTTTTAGATTTTTTTTTAGGAGTAATTTCTCAAAGTGGAATTACTGGGTGTCAACCTAAAGAAGACTCAATCTAAGGAAGGTTCAGTATCCAGTTAGCAGAGTTTATTCAAGTGCAAAGTAACCATTAGGAGACAGGGAAACCAAAGAATGCTGATCAGTGCTCCTGGTGTTGGGAGGGGGACAGTGAATATCAAAACCAAGGCACTGAGTAGATTTACATTTTCCATACAAAGGCTAACATACTGATTTAAAGGCCAGGCACGGTGGCTCACACCTGTCATCCCAGCACTTTGGGAGCCCAAGGCAGGTGGGTCACTTGATGTCAGCAGTTCGAGACCACCCTGTACAACATGGTGAAACCCTGTTTCTACTAAAAATACAAAAATTAGCTGGGCTTGGTAGCAGGTGCCTATAATCACACCTACTCAGGAGGCTGAGGCAGGAGAATCGCTTGAACCTGGAGGTGCAGGTTGCAGTGAGCTGAGATCACACCACTGCACTCCAGCCTGGGTGACAGAGTGACACTCTGTCTCAAAAATAAATAAATAAATAACATACTGACTTAAGATTTGATTCGCTGCTATTGATTACACCCTAACGGGTTAACATCCTATTGAAAACAGGTAACAATCTAAAGGGTCTCTATCTCCAACGCCATTTTGTGTAGGTTTGAATGAAGAATAGGGAGTCTGGTTAATGTATAACATCTCCACGCAAAAGTCAGGAAGTAATGGTCACGCACCAGAGAAGAAAAACAGCCACATTATGTGACTTAGTTTCCAGGGCTAAACTTTTCCCCTTGGCATAATAAATTAGGAAAGTCCTGAAATTTTATTTTCTTTTTACACTGGACATGAATTTTTCAAGTAAACTTTAGTTGAAATATAACATACGTAAAGAAAAGTGCACAAATCGCCAGGCACGGTGGCTCACGCCTGTAATCCCAGCACTTTGGGAGGCTGAGGCGGGTGGATCTCCTGAGATCAAGACCATCCTGGCCAACATGGCGAAACCCCGTCTCTACTAAAAATATAACAATTAGCTGGGCATGGTGGCATGCACTTGTAGTCCTAGCTACTCAGGAGACTGAGGCAGGAGAATCGCTTGAACTCGGGAGGCAGAGGTTGCAGTGAGCCAAGATCGCACTACTGCACTCCAGCCTGGCAACAGAGCAAGACTCCGTCTGAAAGAAGGAAAAGAAAGAAAGAGAGAGAGAGAAAGAAAGAAAGAATAAAGAAAAGTGCACAAATAAAAAATGTGCAGCTCAATGGTTTTTTAAAAAGGAAACATTTTATAACCACCTTCAGATCAAGAAATGGAAATTTCCACTCCCCAGAAGTCTTCTTCATGTGCCTTCCTGTTTACTATCCCCAAAGGGGATCCACTCTCCAGACTTCTAGGACTATAGGTTAGTTTTACCTGTTTTTGAACTTTCAGTAGATCATTCAGACTATACCCTTCTGTGTTTTGCTTCTTTCACTCAACATGAGATTTATCCATTTTTGTATACTGACATATTGAGTGGCTGTTATAAATTCACGTAGTACTTCTAAGCTATCTACAGATTATTTGGGATTTTCTGTAAATAAGCACGTCACCTATGAATAATAATCTTTCATTTCTCCAATCTTTATTCTTGCCTTTCACTTCTTTTTTGTGCCTTGAGTTACTGTCTACTACATTTAGAACATTGTCGAATAGAAATGGTTATAATGAGCAGCATTTTCTCTCACCGTGGGTATACATCCAACAGAAATGCATACATATGTGAATCAAAAGACTTGCACAAGAATGTTATGTGACCGAAACACAGGTTCACTTGCTCAACACTTTGCAGAGTTCAATTAACAAGAGCGAGGTCTGGTATAAAGAAAGTGGTTTTATTCCAAAGCTTAGCTTAGGGGAAGAGGTACAGGCTCCTCCTGCCCTTAACCGTACCGCCTCGCTTTTAGGGCAGAAAGCAGAGAGTTTTAAATGGGGACTTTGTATGAATGGCATGCAGGGGAGGAGCAAGCAGATGGGGGTCTACATGACTCATTTTGGTGCCTTTTCTACCAGGTGGTTGAGCTGATGCCATTGAGGGCAGAACTAGGTTGTAATGTGGCTGTTGTCCTGAGATGCTGTCCAGGTGGAAGAGTTCTGTCGCAGGCATGCTTTAGGTTGTAAATTGACTGTTGTCTCTTAAGGCAATCTCTTGGTGGGAGAAAGTTCTGGTTCTGGACCCTCTAAGTAGGTAGATAAGTTTGCCCTGTAGGGAGTATCTGGTGAAGGGAAGGTAATGGTTATAATTACATTTCTAAAGAGCTAAGTAGAGGCAGGGCACAGTGGCTCATGCCTGTAATCCCAGCACTTTGGGAGGCTGAGGCAGGCGGATCACCTGAGGTCAGGAGATCGAGACCAGCCTGGCCAACATGATGGAAACCTCGTCTCTACTAGAAATACAAAAATTAGCCAGGCATGGTGGCAGGTGCCTATAATCCCAGCTACTAGGGAGCCTGAGGCAGGAGAATCGCTTGAACCCGGGAGGCGGAGGTTACAGTGAGCCGAGATAGCACCACTGCACTCCAGCCTGGGCAACAAGAGTGAAACTCCGTCTTAAAAAATAAATAAATAAATAAATAAATAAATAAATAAATAAATAAATAAAGAGCTAAGTAGGAAGTGGGAGACAGGAGAGAAAGGGGGAAAATCTTAAAAACAACTCATTTTCTTTCTCTTAGAAAAATGCTCTATTTCGGCTGGGCACGGTGGCTCACGCCTGTAATCCCAGCACTTTGGGAGGCCGAGATGGGTGGATCACGAGGTCAGGAGATTGAGACCATCCTGGCGAACACGGTGAAACCCCGTCTCTACTAAAAATACAAAAAATTAGCTGGGCGTGGTGGTGCGCACCTGTAGTCCCAGCTACGTGGGAGGCTGAGGCAGGAGAATGGCGTGAACCCAGGAGGCGGAGCTAGCAGTGAGCCGAGATCGCGCCACTGTACTCCAGCCTGGGAGACAGAGCAAGACTCCGTCTCAAAAAAAAAAAAAAAAAAAAAAAAGGAAAAAAAAGAAAGAAAAATGCTCTTTTTCTTAGAAAACTACTCAGTCTCTTTCTGTTACACATTTACAGTTACAGCAACATTAGTCACAATAGGCAACACTGTAACAACCCAAATGTCCATGGAAAACTGTTTAGCATTGTTTATGAAAGCTGAACATCCACATACCCTGTGATCCAGACCAAAAAAAAAAAAAAAAAACTTCATGTGTACATACATGGTGTAATGCAAAGAGAAATGTTAATAGGAGTTTAAATCACTACAAACTTTGGGGAGGATAGTTTTGCAATAGGTATCAAAGGCCTTAAAAACAATCATACCCATTGATCCAGCAATTCCTGTTTTAGGAATATATTCTACAGAAGCAATCAGAGATACAAAAATGTAATTGTATTAGTAGTTTCAAAAGGTTTTTAAACAGACTAAATATTCCAAAAAATATAGGACTAAGTTATGTGTCCAAACATCCAAATCTTAGAATCTCCACTAAAATGCTCTTGTGAAAGGCTGTTATTTGATGTGTCAAAATGCCTCACAAGTAGATCAATCAATTTTAAAAAGCAGATTACCTAACGCATGTATGGTGTGACACCAATATTAAGAAAAGCTATAAAAATTAGCTGGGCGTGGTGGCGGGCGCCTGTAGTCCCAGCTACTCGGGAGGCTGAGGCAGGAGAATGGCCTGAACCTGGGAGGCGGAGCTTGCAGTGAGCCGAAATCGCTCCACTGCACTCCAGCCTGGGCTACATGGCGAGACTCCGTTTCAAAAAAAAAAGAAAAGAAAGAAAACCTATAAAGCAGCAAGGGGAGGGGAAAGATAGGAAGTACACACACCCTAATGTTAACAGTGATAGGATTATTTTAAATTAAATTTGTATTAATTGGCAACAAATTTCACGGCACAAAATACAGACAGTATAAGGGATGTGCAGTAGAGTGATCTCTGCCTCCCCTTTCCCCAAGCCCGCGCCCCAGGGGCAGTCGCGGTTTAAAGGGGTCTTTCACTCCCTCGGGCCATTTCCGCGCTTCGCATTTTGTGCTTTGGTGGCACCCTGGGGGCGGGGCGCCGCTCTGGCCCCGCCCACCAGGTGCGTCCCTTATCTCGCCCTCTGCAGACGCGCGCACGCCCACGCTGGATCCGGACACGATGCACGCGCGCCTACGCCTGTCGGCAGACCGGCTGACTGTGCGGTGCGGCCTGCTTGGCAGCCTGGGGCCCGTGCCCGCGCTGCGGTTCGACGCGCTCTGGCAGGTGCTGGCTCGCGACTGCTTCGCCGCCGGCCGCCACTACTGGGAGGTAGACGTGCAGGAGGCGGGCGCCGGCTGGTGGGTGGGCGCGGCGTACGCCTCCCTTCGGCGCCGCGGGGCCTCGGCCGCCGCCCGCCTGGGCTGCAACCGCCAGTCCTGGTGCCTCAAGCGCTACGACCTCGAGTACTGGGCCTTCCACGATGGTCAGCGCAGTCGCCTGCGGCCCCGCGACGACCTCGACCGGCTCGGCGTCTTCCTGGACTACGAGGCCGGCGTCCTCGCCTTCTACGACGTGACGGGCGGCATGAGCCACCTGCACACCTTCCGCGCCACCTTCCAGGAGCCGCTCTACCCGGCTCTGCGGCTCTGGGAGGGGGCCATCAGCATCCCCCGGCTGCCCTAGGGGCCAGGACCGGCGTGACAGCCTCCAGGTACGCCGCAGCTGCCCCGTCTCGCCTAATCTACCTAGATCAGCGTGATTGCTCCCCTTACTGCCTGCTTCTTAGGGCCCACTCCCTGCCCCACCTCTCCCCGACCAATCACGCCTACAGTGCTTTGAAGGTTTCCTCACCTGGGCTAGTTTCAAACAGGCCCTAAACAAGTCTGCTGCTGCTTTCTCATCAGACCTCCGCACCCCCACCCGACCATCATTTACACTACTTTAATCCATTTCCTTCAAAGTGATACCCCCACAGGTAAGCCCTCAGCATGCTGAATACATCATCCGCAGCCTGGGAACCTTCTCCCTCGTATAACACAGGAACCTCGCACATAGTAGGCACACAGTAAATGTTTGTGAATGAATGAGAGTCATCCAGCCCTGACTCTTCTGTCTCTTGAGGTCCCTTGAATCTACCGCTTCCTCCCCACCGATTTCAGCTTGTCCACATCACAGCTCCCTCCAGAACAGCTGCAAGAGCTTCTTAGCAGTTCCTGGTCTGAACCCTCTCCCAGTCCTCATCTTCCACCCTAAAACTAGAGTGATCTTCCTAAAACTTCACTTAACCTCTCAGCTATGAAGAGGCTTCCAGGAGTTACCATGAGAAAACAAACAAAAAATACAAGCGCCTCACCTTAGCATTCAAGGCTTATCTAGTCTGCCCAAAATTACTTATCCTCACCTAGCTCCTACCACTCTTCTTAGAGACTCTCTAGTCAGAAATATGCCGCATAGCTCCACCTCCACACCTCTTTGCTGCTAGCACATACATGCAGAAAAGTTTTTTCACCTGTCTCAGTCTTCCCCAGGCTTACCTGCGCCAGGAAGTCTAACCAAGGAACAAGAATCTCACTATCAGAGCCACAAATCTGGAACCCTATCTTTCCAACTAAATTGGAGGCTTTGGAAGGGCAGCTTTGTCCTATACTCTCTCCACCCTGAAAAGTTCAGAAAGCCCCTTCCCTCCCAAGCAGTGAATTAATAACCAGCAAGTTCCCATCACTGAGTCACAGGTCACCCAGCCAGATCTCATTGTACATTTGGGGAGTCTCTGAGGTCCTGAAAGAAAGCAGCTGCGTAAAGTTACCCCGTGGTGATATGGGGGGGCCAGATGTGTGCCCCGTCCACCCGCCCCCAAGCAAGCATCTGACCTGTCCCCTGGCCCAGCCCTTAGGCCCAGCTTTCAACCTGCTTATTCATTTCTCAGGGGATGCTGGGAAGGAATCAGCAGGTAACAGTTGCTAAGCAACCAAAGGGGGTAGGGTGGTGTTTCTCAACTGTCCTGGGACAAAAAGGGGAAGAGCACCCAGCTGTCTGGAACGAAGTGACAGAAATAGAGAACGGTAGGCTCTCACAGGGAGGCCAGCTCCTCTAGCAGGTAGGGGGAGGCCTCTTCCCAGGGCCTGTGTCTCTGTTCTGAAGGTTCCGCGTCCTGTTTTGTCAATTCCCTAGACGGTTCTGAAGTTATGTTCTGTTAAAGCATCTTCATAGGTGCTTGGTGGGAGGCCAAGGCCGCCGAATCCTCGTAGTTGAAACAGACTCTCAGTGCATTAGTTTGAACGATATAAAACTGACAATTTTCAATAGTTTTTGAGTTAAAAATGGCACTTTTGATATAAGACAATGTAGCAGAACACCAGGCAGACAGAACCTTGCAAATGCCTTAAACTTCTAACCAAAGACTTTAAAACTCTGGCTGGACAGAGTTTTAAAGCACTATGCTGCAGGAATCGTGAGAAAAAGGGGAAATTAATTCTACTAGGAGATGGCCCAAACTGAATTGTGACAGGCAGAAGGCATTCCTGACAGAGTAAAGATGAATACACTTGACCCTAACATCTCTGTCCATCCCTGATCAAGACCTCTTCCCAGACCCACAGCTACAGGGGCCAAGTAATAACAGCTCTTACTAGCTTATAATGCACTGTTCTAATGCTTTACAACTAATCTGATCCTTTCATCACCCCTGGGGGGTAGAAAGTTATCCCAGTTCTACACATGGCAAAATGGAGACCCAGAGTCACTTGCCCAAGGTCACACAGCTGGTGGTGGAGCTGGGGTCTGGGCCCAGGCTGTGAGTTCCAGGTCTGTGCTCATGGCCACCAGGCCCTACTGCTCAGGTTGAATGCAGCTGGTCTCTGGCCAGTGCCTAGTGCTCTGGCCCCTCTCATGGAGCTACTGCCCATGATGCTTTCCTAGTGCCCGGTTATTCTACGACACTTGAGTCTGCCTTTGGACTGCCTTCCTTGGGGTCTGAGATGAGGCCTTATGGCCCAGAGGGGAACTTGATTTAAAAGTTTGGGATTCATGTAGCAGAGACAGAGCTAGACCTTAAAGGTCACAAACTAGCTGTGTCAAGGCCCATGATAGCCAGAAAGCAGCAGTTTCAGTCCATAATCAATTGTGTGACCAGGGCGAGTCACTTTTTACTTCTCGGTGCCATCTATAAAATGGGGATAATGGCACTACCTACCAGTGCTGTGAGGCTCAAATGAGCCAAAGGTTATAAACTTGCCTTAAAAACTATAGTCCTATACAAAAATTAGCTGGGTGTGGTGGTGCGTGCCTGTAATCCCAGCTACTCAGGAGGCTGAGGCAAGAGAATTGCTTGAACCCAGGAGGCAGAGATTGCAGTGAGCTGAGAATGTGCCACTGCACTCCAGCCTGGGGGAACAGAGCAAAACTGTCTCAAAAAAACAAAAACTATAGTGCTGTATCATGCCAGGATTTATCAGCATTCCCAAGGGAGCTTGCGCTGTACCGACTGAGTGCTGAGACTACTGGTATTCCCAGCTGCCATGTGGCAGTAGCAGGAGCTACTAGAATATTCTCAGCACAGGAATGAGGCTTCCTTGGTTTCCATGTTGGTAAGGATTACTGATCACTTACCTTATTCTCTTTCAGACTTGAATCTGTAGACATTTCTTTATTGATCTGGCAAATTGCTTGCAGATATTTTTAAATGACAGCAATTTTCTAATATTTGGTTTAATAAAATGTGAATAATGTCCCTTTTAAACATGGTCTTCACTGGGAGTTCATGTTGCTTCAAGTCCCTAGCACCCAGACCCGGACGGGCCTTCACTCATAGCCTATTCCTTAGGCAGCCTTCTGGTAGTAGTCAGCTGCTCCCTGATTAACTATCTCCAGGGATGGGGCATTCACTGCTTCTGAAGATAACTCACTAAAGTTCTCACTTACGTGTAAACAACTCCCACCTGTTCCCATCCAGGATAGTATTATAGCTTGAACTCCTGGTCTCAAGCGATCCTCCTGCCTCAGCCTCCTAAGTAGTTGGGACTACAGGCTCACACCAGCATGCCTGGCTTACATACCACCTTCTAACATATTGTGTGACGGAATCACTGTGGGGTATAGGCCTTGTTTTAGTTTCTCTGTCAAATGGAAACTATCCTGTCAGATGACTGTAAGGATTGGTGATATTATAGAATGTCCCTGGAACATAGAATGCTCTCAATACATGCATAGTGTATTGATTTTTATGCATCTGCCCCCATCTGAATGAAAGTTCACTGAGGAAGGGATTGGGGCTGTTCATGGCTATATCCTCTGTACCTAGAGCAGTGCCTGGCACACAGATGGCCCTCAGTATTTGTTCAGAGAAGGAACACATGCCATTTCCCTCTCTGCTCTGAGAGGAGAACCTTCAGCATTTTTCTGCCTACAAGATCCTTTGACCAATCCTTTCTCTGATGTGGAGGGACTACTATACAATGCCAACTAGACACAGAGGCCAAGGGCAGGAAAGGGATAAAGGCAATGGAGAAGTAAAGGGCTGTTAGGAAGTGAGATTGAAGGCTTAAAGGAAAGGACCTGCACAGCCAGCTCTCGCCCCTCTCTGCAGCCACCCAGCAACTGGAGGATATGGACGTGGTTTGGAACCACCCCCTCTTCTAAGCTGGCCAACTTGAAGCAGAGACTGCATCACTGGATCTTTTTCTCTCTCCAGTGGGCTGACACAGGGCCTAGCCCAGAAACGTCTGCTGTCTAAGGAGCGGGTGGAGGTGGATGATGGCCAGGTCCCTGGAGACCGCCATTCCTGCCCCCGCCTCACTCAGACACATCCAACAGCACCAGCAAGGGAACTGAGAATTCACAGAATGGCACTTTATTTTAAGACTTGATTTTTTTGCCATGATTATCTACCGATTCTTCCATGATGGTATCATCTTCTTCAACAGTGACCAGGACCTTCTTGCCTACTAGATTAAAGATGTCTTCAGGAGGATAGCCTTTGGGCTCACCCACCTTCACGGTGAGCATGTCCATTGTTAGAATGGTGCCTTCCAGAATTTTCACTTTGGCCACCACAGACTTGCCCAGCTGTGAACAAAATGAACATTCAGTACCAGCTTCACAGAAGTAACTAGTGTACACTACTTTACATTCCAGGTCCCTGATCAGTCCTCCCCAGGCAGTACCTTGGGAGCAGGGACTCTGTTGCCACCTACGCTGCTCAGAATATCTCATACGTGGCAGGAATTCAACCAGTGTAGATTGAATTCAGAGACTCAGAGGAGTGGCCTTTACAATAAAGTGTGAAGGAAAGGGCTCAGGCTGTGTAGGTGGAGCCAGGTTCAAATCCCAGTCAGTGGGATATAGGCCTTGTTTTAGTTTCTCTGTCAAATGGAAACTATCCTGTCAGATGACTGTAAGGATTGGTGATATTATAGAATGTCCCTGGAACATAGAATGCTCTCAATACATGCAAACCTGGTACCTCAGGGAACACCTCGCCTAAATGTTTCTCAGGGTTTACCTGCTCCAAGGGAGCCCAGACTTGACTTATTCCAGGGCCTCATTGCTGTTACATATTCTGGAGTCTAGGAGTAGTGGGGCCATGGGCTTCAGATAATTAGTGGAAGACTCTAATGTGACCCTAGGTGGCCAGAGAAACTGCTAAAGTTCCCTTTAGATAACATGTTTCTCCCGCTGCTGCTACCGGCCAGAGTGACACGCATTACTGAAGAGCCTGAAGAAGCCGACAGGGGTGGCAGCACATTCCTTCATCATTTAATTAGCCTGGCTCAGGGAGTGCTGGCCCTGACCATCCCTCTCGGGCCAGCCCATCCTGTTTCTGCACACGGCAGCAGAGCTGAGTGCAGTCCAGTAGGACGTACCTTCTCATTGCAGGCCATCTCACAGGGCAGCAGCTGCTTGGTTGGGGAGCCCAGGGCACGCTCCACAAGACGCACTGACCGCACCAGCTCGGCCAGTTCTCCAGGCTCCAGTGAGGCTGAGTGGTCACTCCCCTTCCAGGTCTTGTCCAAAGTTATGTGACGTTCCAACACCTTGGCCCCCAGAGCCACTGCAGCCACAGATATGGCTATGCCTGTTTCATGCCCAGAATAACCTATGGGAATATCAGGAAAGAGCTTCTGATATTCCTTTAAAATGAAAAAAGAAAAATAACGTTAAATATAAATATCATGGTGCTTTATGCATATTCTCCAGGGTCAAGTATATCTGGTTGAGTCGCGGTTTAGCCACTCACTAGTTGTGCAGCCAGGGGTAAGATACTGAGGTTCTCTGAGCCTCTCCTTCCTAGGGATGATAATAATACCTGCTGAGTGTTGCTGTAAATGCATGAGAAGCACTCAGCACATTGTAAATGCTCTAAAAACAACAGTTACTCTTACTACAAAGAATGCATTTTAAGAATGTTTCACATTGCACAATACACTGAGAATAACAACAGAACTGTAAATTAATGTCTAACCTCATTCAAAAACCATCTGTCACATTTAATTAGCCTGAGCTGCTGAAAGCAAGTGTGCCACAAATATCATCAACAATAATATACACAGCCCAATCTCAAAACAATCCTTTGGCGGAAATGATAAATAATCCATTATGTCTAATTCACTGAATGTAACAAAAGACACTTTAAGATGGGTGAGTCTTGTTGGTGAGGGTGATCAGAAAGCTGAGTACAGTAGAAAGACTCAGGTAGGGTGTATTATTATTTTATTGTTATTTATTATTTCTTTTTGAAACAGGGTCTCGCTCTGTTGCCAAGGCTGGAGTGCAGTAGTGTGATCACGGCTCACTGCAACCTCTGCCTCCTGGGTTCAAGCGATTCTCCTGCTTCAGCCTCCCGAGCAGCTGGGACTATAGGCGCCCACCACCACGCCCAGCTAATTTTTGTATTTTTTAGTAGAGAAGGGGTTTCGCCACGTTAGCCAGGCTGGTCTCGAACTCCTGGCTTTAAGCAGTCCACCTGCCTCAGCCTCCCAAAGTGCTACCAGTGTGAGCCACATCATCTGGCCTCAGGTGGGGCTTCACAAAAGATTAGGAGGGTTAGCTGGCAAAGGCCTTGAAAACCAGGCTTAAGGGTGTGTGATGGAGTGCGGATTGCTAAGTTTGGAAATTCAAACGCCCGTACTATGTGCAGGCCCAAGATGGGATAGGCTGGCAGAATAACTCCTGCAATGTGTAGTGTCAAGAGGGAGGACATGACAGCACCTTGAGTGGGGACAGAGATACACTGAATAGGAAAATAACGGGTCACGTCTACTAAACTGTTAATTATCGGAATCTCTGTGGGATGGGAGTGCAGGTGATGTTTACTTTTGACATTACATGTTTCACAGAAATCATTTTTAAGCTTTAAAAATAACATGATTTAGATAAGCTATATGTGAAGCAGAAACAGAAAAAAGTGTAGGTAAAAAAAGAAAGTTTAGGTAAAAGGAGCAATGTCAGTTTTCAAAAAGGCTAACTTTTTAAAAGTTAATGGCTGTATAGCAACATGTAAGAAAGCTTATATTATGGGAAAAACAGAATATCAAATACTATGCTGAAAGGAAAATATAAAAGGAAAACAACTGCAATATCAAGATTCTAAGTATATATGGATGGAGAGACAGAATTCCATTAATGTTACTATAATGGTTTTAATGATAATTACATATTTTTGAATGAAGTTAAACTTCCAGTGCTACAGGAGGAACTGAGAGAGATGGCATGAGACAGTAAGAGACAAAGGCCTAAGGGGACATGCCCGGGTTCTAGTTCCAGCTTTGCCACCAAGCTGCTGTGGGATCTCAGGCTTCCCGACTTGGGACTGGACTTCACCATCTATGAAATGACTGTGTAGGCAAAATCCTGGGAGAGAGTAATTTCCCTCAAGGCTGTCACTGTAATTAGTTTGAGCCTCAGGGATGCTAAGAATTAGAAAATAAGAGAGCCAGCAAATAACAAAGCAGAAAAAGCCATAAGTTTCAAGAAGGCCTCCTATAACTCAGTATGAAAAAAGATGAATATTTATCTGTACGCTAGTGCTCATAGCAGCATCACTCACAATAGCCAAAAGGTAAAACCATCCCAAATGTCTGTTGACAGATTTTTTTTTTTTTCCTAAGACAGTCTCACTTTGTCACCCAGGCTGGAGTGCACTGGTGCGATCTTGGCTCACTGCAACCTTTGCCTCCTGAATTCAAGCCATTCTCCTGCCTCAGCCTTCTGAGTAGCTGGGACCATGGGCATGCGCCACCATGCCTGGCTAGTTTTTGTATTTTTAGTAAGAAGGGGTTTCACCATGTTGGCCAGGCTAGTCTCGAACTCCTGACCTCAGGTGATCTGCCCACCTCAACCTCCCAAAGTGCTGGGATTACAGGCATGAGCCACCGCGCCTGGCCAAGAAAATTTCATTTATAGTCACCTTCTTTAGAATGTATGTGCTTCCTCAACTGTTTAGCTCAAATTTGATTTAGTAACAGCAAGACTGTCAAAGGATGTTCAAATTATAAAGTATGCCATGGTTTGTTAGAATTTTGGTTATAAAAAAGACTACGTCTTCCCCATAGTAAATGGCCCAAGAAGGGAACCCCCCCTCCTGCTCACCGAGATGACCCGCAGGTTGACGTCCTCAGGCTGGAGTGGGTATGCGCTGGTACACTGCAAGAAGCAGAAGTTGGGGTTGAGGGGCTTCACAATCTGATAGACTTGCTTCATGGTGTCCATCGACTGCATCCCGCTGGAGATCACCATTGGGCG